CTAAGAGAACACTACCATCAAAACCAGCAGTTCAGAATAAACTGTGTCCAAGCCCCGTCTCATACTTTGTAGGGATTTGCTCTTTGCAGTGCCTTTCCCCTGAAATTCTTCCTACCTCCTCACGCCCTCCTTTCTTTCCTTCTATGCTGCAGGCCCCAATTTTCCTTATCCACGATACTCCCAAGCCAGGGACAACAGCACTTCCACAGATTTCCACTCTTATCTCAAAGGAATGACGAGGACTCACTAGGTAGCAGTTCTGAGAGGTGGCTAAGTTCACTGGTTTCAAGTGGGCTTAATAAATATATGTAATTTTCAGTCACTGACAGTGAAGAGCTCACGTCTAGTCGGGTGGCAAGGCATGCATTGGAGTGTGTGCTCTTATTTAGGGATGTATCAAATGAGTGCTGTGACCCGGAACCCTTGACACATCACATTGAGAATCTTCTCTACAGGTTTGAAGTTTTAATGCTTCCATCGAGTTGAGTCTACTGAAATTCTTAAAACAGGGAGGATTGTTCCTTTGGGTTTCCGAGAATTTTCATCTTTTTTTTTTAAATCATTTTATTAGGGGCTCATACAACTCTTATCACAATCCATACATACATCATCGATTGTGTAAAGTGCATTTGTACATTCATTGCCCTCATCATTCTCAAAACATTTCCTCTCCACTTAAGCCTCCACTTTATGAGAGCAGAAAGCCTCTTATTTCTCCGGTGGCTGTTTAAAATGCTGTGGCTACGTTTGACCTTATAGACCACATGCACAGGGATGGGGGAATATTGCTCATCAGCCACAGTAGCAATTGATGAGAAAGATTTTGACTTTTTATATGTATATCTAGGTGAACATGGGTTCCTTCTCTCTCTCTCTCGTAATCTCTGATAGCGCCTCCTCACTTTCTAACTGTGTCTTCAGGAGCTTCCAGGAAAGGCCCCATGTTTGCTTACTCCTCAGCTCACACAGTGGCTAGCTTCTGTGAGCAAGTGTCCCCTAAAGCGGTGGGTGGAACCTGTATGGGTGTGGCTTATTGTGTGATGTCCACCCCACCTGGAACCTGCCTGAAGGCCTTCTTTCTCCCCTGTACTCGCTGATTCTCTTGTAAAATATGCTATTAGAAAAACAAAATTATAAAGCACACACTAGTGTTTCGTGTATCCTTTTGATTGCAGCTTGAGAAGATAAAATCACTTGGTCCGCTTGCTGTATTAAAGCTTATAAAGGCCATGTTTAAAGATGTACCCTGACCTTCGGACCACACTATTTAGCACTGTTGTAGGGCAGCAGTTTGAAACCAACAGCCATTTCTCTAGAGCAGTGGTTCTCAACCTTCCTGATGCGGCGGCCCTTTAATACAGCTCCTCATGTTGTGGTGACACCCCCCACCCCAACTGGCAAATTATTTTCATTGCTACTTCATAACTGTCATTTTGCTACTGTTATGAATCGGATGACCCCTGTGAAAGGGTCACTCTACCCCCAAAGAGGTCACAACCCACAGGTTGAGAACCACTGCTCTAGAGAAAGATGAAGACTTCTGCTCCCATGAAGATGTATAGCCTCATCTCCACATGGAGTTAATTAAATTCTCTCAGACCAGGGATGTGACTAGTCTTGTCCTCTGTGCACTGGGGAGGAGGTTACAGCAGATAGGGGTTGTCAGGTGCTGAGTTGGTTCTGACTCCTAGCCACCCTACAGACAGCAGAAGAACGATCACTCAGTCCTCCACCATCCTCACAGTTGTTTTCATGTTTGAGCCATTGTGTCGATCCATCTTGTCCAGTCCTCTTTTAACTGCCCCTATATTTCCTTCACTGCAGAGATGGCTAGTTTACAACTTAACATCTTATCATTTGTTTTCCTATTTGACTCATGTTTAACTTCTGGTGTTTATTATTTTCTACTTTCTTTTGGATTGAAGCCTACTGTGTTTTACTTTGTTGTTGGTGTTGGGTATTTTGGGGGGTGGGGTATGGTTTTCTTTATATGAAATCCAGGATAGTAAATCTATAGAGACAGTAATCGGACCTGAGGGTTATGGAAGGAGAGATTTGGGAGAATTGGGGCTTAATAATGATACAAGGATGAAAAAAATGTTCAAAAATAGATTGTGGTGATGATTACAAACAGCTCCTCTTAATGTATTAAAACCATTGATTGTATGGTTTACAGATGAGATGTCAATAAAATGGCTAAAAAATTAAAAAAAAAGATATATAGCCTCAGAAACCCACAGGGGCCGTTCTACTTTGTCCTATAGAGTCCCTGAATTGCAGCTGACTCGATGACACTGAGTTTGGTTTGAAAGGGCAATGTTTTGCCCTATCTATTGTATAAAGAAAGACCTCTTTAAAATATTGAAGAGCAAGCAAGGATGTCACTGAGGATTAAGGGTGCATCTGACCCAAGCCATGATGTTTTTAGTCATCTCATATGCATATGAAAGGTGGGCATTGAATAAGGAAGACACGAATAATTGATACATTTGAGTCACGATATTCACACAGAATATTGAAAATAACATAGACCACCAGAATAACAAACAAATCTGTCATGAAAGAAGTACAATCGGAATGTTCCTTAGAAGTGAAAATCATGAGACTCCATTGCACGTCCTTTGGACATATTGTCAGGAAAGACCAATCCCTGGAGAAGAGACATTATGCTTGGCAAAGAAGAGAGGCAGCAAAAAAGAGGAAGGCCCTTAAAAGAGATGGCTTGATGGAGTAGCTGCAACAATGGGCTCAAACGTAGCAAGTGTGAGGCTGGTGGCAGCCCGGCTCTGCTTCCTTCTGTTGTGCGTGGGGTCACTGTGAGTCAGAGCTGGACCAATGACACTTAGCAAGGACAAGAGGAGTCTTCTGGCTGTCAAATCGGTGACCATAGGGGAAGGGTGTTGACGGAGTAAGTGAACATAGAGTAGGATTTTTTTTGGTGGGGGGTGGGTAGGGAGGATGGGGAGTACGTTTGGGGCTTCAAAAAGTTCATATAAAAAATCCATTATCTTTCTCAATCTCCTTCAGAAGAAGGAAAGAGAATATTCTGTTTAGAATCTGGAGTTTGCATTGACTTTCTGGATAAGTTATAATACACAGATATTAACTGTATTATGCGTTTACACTGGAGAATGATGTCGAAAGTTGAGAAATGGCCCACAAACATAGATGGAAGGCACAGTCTAGGGGCAGTTAATTAGCTCCAGTGTCGGACAAGTTAATGAACCCTTGCCTCCTTTAGGAAGTAGCTGTCAGCTTCCATATTATCAGAACATATTTTGAGCACGATTTGTTAATCCTTCCCAGAATAGAAATACGATTAAAGATTAGCAATATTTTATTAAAACTGGTAATTAAAGTTGCCGGGGGCAGGTTCTAGGGAGTGATGCTCATTGTCTCATTAGTCTTGGGGCTTTTATATACTGGAATTGTGGTTTCTGTTGGCACATTAGAATTAGGCTTCCAAAAGCAGCTATAACAGACTTTGCAATGACCTGCCACAGATGGTTTTAAATTAGTAGATTTAAGAAAAACCAATAAAACAATGCATTCCAAACACTGAAAAAACTGGAGGGTAAATCAGATACATAGGAGGGGTGAGGGCTGAGCTTCAGTTGGAATGTCGCTTAAAAAAGCTACTCCACGCAGGGCCCCTGGCGATGAAAAGACTTTGTATTATAGCCCACAATCCAGGGGAAGTATAGATATCTGCTTTTTCAGGCTCCTCTTCCATCCCAATCATTCTACTTGGGGAAGCATTGGTTTAGGTGACTGCCAAGCTTAAGTTTGACAGAAGGACTTTGAAATAGATTCTTAATAGAAATATTTCTATTAAGTAGTAGCATGAAGGTATCAAAATGTGAATATTAAAAGTTTGGTATGATAAGGATTGGCGGCATATGTGGACATTATGGGATTTGCGTTTAATAAAGAATCTTCATTGTTAGAGTCATCGGTATTTTGGCTAACTGAAAAACAAAAAAGCTAGAGTGATGGCAACATTGTTTATATTCCTCATAATCAAACATGACAGTTTAAGAAGAAAAGCTTTGTTTGGGTCTTGGAGCCCAACTCTAGGGCACTGTGAGTTCTCAGGAGATAGCATGTTTGTTCATAGGCCAGCGTCCTTAGCTTAAGCCTGCTGTCAGCCTATTGGTGCCAACTCATTGTCTCCCTACTTAGGGTTCTAGAGACTGTAAATCTTTTCAGGAGGAGACACTCATCTCTCACTTGAGCAGTGGATGATGGGTTTGAACTACCGGCCTTGTGATTAGCAGCCCAACACCTAACCCGTAGCACCACCAGCCCTTCTAAATTCTTAGTTTAGAACTTCTGAATCGAGTGTTTCTGATCTAACATTTGTCATTGTGTACATGGAAGAGATGAGTCCTCTTTTCAATCAGTGATCTGGTAGATTTTTTAAATGTAATTAAAAGTGTGCATCTGTTTTATTAATTATGCATATAAATTATTACAACTCGGTCTTGCTTTAGGAGCTTTGCCTCTTAAGTTCCTTGGAGAATTCTCATCCTAGACAGAAATGAGTGTCATGGTGACTCCACGATGGCTTAGGCTCTACTGGAAGTGGTGTCTTCTTGACATTAGAGAACTCTGGCAGTCTGGACAGAAGTAGTGAAAGAACTAGTAACAGGCCCATCTGGTACGATGATTTTTCTCGGTAAAGGTATTCCTAGAGGTAGGCTGGTAGCACGCCCTAGGCCATTCTCTACCTTTCTCTGCCCTAAGCACACAACAGGTGGGTAATCGGGAATCCTGGTTTGTGGGTAGCTGGGAATCCTGGTTTCATAGAATTTGGGAAGGTATAGAAAGGTTCTTGCCCCCTCATATGCTTCCCTTTCTATTTTTGAGTATAAATTGTTTAACCTAAAAAAGGTATTTTTCTTTTTTTCCCCAGGAAGTAGTTAAGATCTTTAAAGAAAACAAATCTTCCGTTGGAAAGCAGCATGACTATAATAGAAACTTTGTTTTGTCTTGTGCAGCTCAAAGAAAATGAACGGCACCCTGGACCACCCAGACCAACCAGATCTAGATGCTATCAAGATGTTTGTGGGCCAGGTTCCCAGGACCTGGTCTGAGAAAGACTTGAGGGAACTCTTCGAACAGTACGGTGCTGTCTATGAAATCAACGTCCTACGGGATAGGAGTCAAAACCCTCCTCAGAGCAAAGGTGAGGGTTAGGGGCCTCCTGGTGGCCAGGATCCTGCTGTGGTCACCCAAGGAAAATGACCTTTTCTCATAGCCATATCTTGTAGCCCAACCACATTTAAATGCTTAAAAATCAAAGTTAAGGTGACATCATGAGGATACTTTATAAATTGAGTTAAGGGCCACGCTTTGTTAGGAACTCTAAACTCAAGAGATGTGTGTGTGTCTCATTTGCTCTAGGGAATGGAATGACAACAATATTGAAGAAAACCAACCACGTAAACTGTCCTTAGTATTTCAGCTAGGTTACCCTGAAAAGAAAAATGTTCATGTATATACCCCAGTGGTGCTCTTATTGGATTGCCTGGTGAACCCAGATGGAGTTTGGGTGGGGGTCCTGTGTTGGTGGTAGGTTACAAAATTAATAGGAGAAAAGAGCAGTTTCACAGGCTGGATGGTGGCTAAGTCATTAACTTTGCCCCTGTATGCACAGAGATAGATTCTTATTTTTCCAAATGACCATTTTCAGAGTAATTTTATGTGAAAGGTCTTCTATAGTGCAAATCCGAGCAAACATGGTCATCATGTCTGAAACTAGCTTAATAGGAAAGTCTAGAAGTAGGAGAATGTTTTTCACATTTTGTGGCATTGTTAGCCAAAAGGACAAATTATTGTAGCTTCTGAAATGATTATGTAGGAATTTAACATCTGAACTGCAGTGCAATTTTGAAAAGGTTAGATGATCGCTCCTGAGAATATGAGGAACATCACCACCTTGAAGCTCAATTCTCAAGATACAAAGCACAAAATCATAGACCTCGGTCAGTGTCATGTGCTGGACAGAGGTTCTCAACCTGTGGATTCTGACCCCTTTGGGGGTCGAACCACCCTTTCACTGGGGTCGCCCGATTCATAACAGTAGCAAAATGATAGTGATGGAGTAGCAACGAAAATAATTTTATGGTTGCGGTGTCACCACAACATGAGGAACTGCATTAAAGGGCCATGGCATTAGGAAGGTTGAGAACCGCTGTGTTAGAAGCTTGATTAGAATTATAAGACCCTGAGGGTAGTGTGGAAAGGGGGAACCGATTACAAGTATCTACATATAAACTCCTCCCTGGGGGACGGACCATAGAAAAGTGGGTGAAGGGGGACGTCGGACAGTGCAAGATATGACAAAATAATTCATAAATTATCAAGGCTTCATGAGAGAGGAGGGAGGCGGGGAGGGAGGGGGAAAATGAACTGATGCTAGGGGCTTAGGTGGAGAGCAAATGTTTTGAGAATAATGAGGGCAATGTACAAATGTGCTTTACACAATTGGTGTATGTATGGATTGTGATAAGAGTTGTATGAGCCCCTAATAAAATGATTTAAAAAAAAAAATTCTAAGACCCAAGCATCCAAAACAAGATGCCAAGAACTGCCTGCTCTTAAGCTATTGTATAATGTAATAAGTAATCATTATGTTTGAGGCAAGTCATCAATTGGCCATCTATCCTTGACAAACACAGGTAGAGAATAACTAGAGCATTTTTTCCCCCTGCTGGAGGAGGGTTTATGTTAATAAGTCCAGCCATCTCTTTCAGTCCCAAATGTCAGTGGAGGAGGGGTAGTCTGCTTTCAAAGAAATGCTCTGATTTTTTGAAATTTTATTTATTGCAGGGTGCTGTTTTGTTACATTTTACACCCGTAAAGCTGCATTAGAAGCTCAGAATGCTCTTCACAACATGAAGGTCCTCCCAGGGGTAAGGACACTCCTCCTGGCCAATTGGGCCATGATGGTTTTAACACTGGGGTATACTTGTCAGGCGTGCATTGAAAATCATTTTGGGAAAAGAGGTCACGGCCATAGGAGCTGATGAATAGGCATTTCAAAGAAGAAATAGAAAATGTTTAAGAGTCTTGGCTATTGTGACTTCTTGACTGGCCGTCTGTCTTGTCTGACATTTGGGGTAGAGAGGGAGCCACACATCATGAAGGAGACATTACTGTCTTATTTTGATGATTCCTCAGTAATTTTTCTGACTGTCTTCAGCATGTACACTTGTTCATATTCTTTCCTTAGATGCACCACCCCATACAGATGAAACCTGCTGACAGTGAGAAGAACAATGGTAAGCAGGCCCACTGAGCCCTCTCGTTAGAAGACGCCGCCTTACTTGGCTGTTGTCAGGGCATCTGCTTTGTACTGTGCTCTTAAGTAGTCTGTCATCTCAACTGTCTGTCTTTTTATTTTTTTTATTTTTCTTTTCAAATAAGAATAGAAACTAAATGAAATAGTTAATAGGGAAAACATTATGAAAAATATTTTTAAATGAACTGGATGGAATGCCCTTGAGAAATATCATTTCTTATGGACAACGGTGAGAAGGGAAGATGAGCAAGTTAGGGAGGAGGACTTGAATAGTCAGAAGAAGAAAACAGTCAGTTGCACTCACGGCGAGCTGTGTTCTGTTCCTCTTAACAACCTCCTGTAGTAGGGCATTACTAGTAAGAGCAAACATTGCTAAGTTCTAAGTAGGTATTAGCTCATTTAATACAAGCCATATTGATTAACCCATTGATCAACTGAAGAAATAGGTACAGAAAGATGAAGTAACTGGCATAAGGTCGCAAAGCTACCTTAAGTCACCTAAATATTCCCAGTTATACTGTTGACTAGAAGAAGAATGATTTCATGTGTGTTAAGTTAATACGAAAATAAGTATGTCTTAGAGCCAATGAAGTATCAAGATAGAGCGTCAGGACGTCAACCCATGCCCTGATGCCACTTCTATGCACCTCTTTCAGTAAAAACCCTGTGTGTTTGCTCTATCAGCAGTGGAAGACAGGAAGCTGTTCATTGGTATGATTTCCAAGAAATGCACTGAAAATGACATCCGAGTCATGTTCTCTTCGTTTGGACAGATTGAAGAGTGCCGGATATTGCGGGGACCTGATGGCCTAAGTCGAGGTGGGTACATTTTTAGCCGTTTAAAGATGTTGTTGTGTTCTGCTGTCGAGGTTCCCACTCATATGAGTCAAAAAGTTTGTGAAAAAGTGGAATGAAAAAATCAATGCATTTTTTTCCGTGAATTTTTTGAAGTCTCCTCATAGCCTCCTATGTACAATAGATCACTGCCCAGCCCTCACAAGAGTTATGCTTGAGGCCAGTGTTGTAGCTACTATGGCAGGCCGTCTCGTTTAAGGTCGTCCTCTTATTGGCTGACCCTCGAGTTTACCACGCATGTCCTTGTCTCCCCATCTTTGCTTCCAAGGAGCATCTGGCCGTTCTTTCTCCAAGACAGATGTTTTGTCAGTCCATGGCACTTTCAATATTGTATCAGTTCTCTTGTCCACCTTATTTACCGTCCAGCTTTTGCGTGCAGATAAGGCACTTGAAAATGCTGTGGCTTAGATCAGGCGCAGGCACACCTTAACCTTCATGGTGGCATCTTTGCTTCGTTAATGCATCACCCAATAATTTCTTGATGCTGCTTCCATGGCAGTTGATTGTTGATCTATGGAAAGTAAACTACTGATAACTGAAATATTTTCTCTATCACAATGTTGTTTACTGGTCCAATTGTGAGGATTTTTGTTTTCTTCATGTTAAGTTGATTCCACACTGAAGATTGTAGTTTTGATCACCAGGAATTGCTTTGAGTTTTCTTCCGTCTCAGCAAGGCTGTCAGTGAGTCCTGCTGCTGCGTTCTTCATGTGGTCAAGCTTCTCCAATCGCCTCCCAGGTTTACATATTGAACAGGTGTGATGGAAGGGCTCACACACCCTGATAAACACCCGTCGTTGTTTTAAGCCCCATCCTATCCCCTTGCTCCATTTGCTTCTTGGTCATGTGTACACGTTTAGCATGAGCACAATGAAATGTTCTTGGATTTCCATTCTTCATACTATTGTCCATAGTTTGATGTAGAGTTTCTTTTGAATTGGATTACTGGGAACCTGGCCAATAGGAAGAAGGAGAGAGTTGGCTTGTCACTCGGTGTTGGTTACCCAGTTACTGACCTGCCATGATTGCTCTTGGCTGTTGGTCACTCTTAGTGGTCTCCTAGCACTGTTGATCACTCTTAGTGGTCTCCTAGCACTGTTGATCACTCTTAGTGGTCTCCTAGCACTGTTGATCACTCTTAGTGGCCTCCTAGCACTGTTGGCTCTCGCTCTGCCATCAAGCTGGTGCCGACTCATAGCAGCCCTGTAGGACGGAGTGGAGCTGCTTCTGTGAGTTTCTGAGACCATTAACTCATGGGAGTAGGAAACCTTATCTCCTTGTGGAGTGGTAGTTTCGAACTACTGGGCTTGTGGTTCAACATGTAAATCGTATGCCGCCAGCCCTACTAAGGAACCTGAATTCTGTACCTCAATGTCCCATTAAAATATCCTTTTTTTGTGTTTAGAGAGGTTCCTAATGGCAAAATGGAATCACTTTCTTCTTCCATTTTCTTTTTCAAGAGAAATTGAGGAACATGCCTTCTTCTTTCTTCTTTGAACACTTGGTTTTTATTTTAACGCTGGTCACACTACTATAACATAACTACTTCATCTACTAACTCATCAACCTCTGAAGTCAGGGACCATGTATATGTCACTAACTTGATCTTTGGCACACAATGCTCAGTAGATACCTGCCAGATAAATAAGCAAAAGGATGAGTTAACTGATTCTTCTCTTACCAGGTTGTGCATTTGTGACTTTTACGACAAGAGCCATGGCACAGACGGCTATCAAGGCAATGCACCAAGCACAGACCATGGAGGTAGGGAGCAGATGGGAAAGAGGAAGCCCTTGGCCTGAGAATGTGAGGCCAGCTAGCTATCCAGTTCAGTAGCATGTGCCTCATCATATTGCCCTAAAAGTTACACAGGCCCATCTGTCTTCAAGTTGAAACCTGATGCTTAAATAGATGATAAATCCGTACAAATGAATGTATTGAAAATATGTGCCCCTTTGCCATTTGTGTCTTACCGGAGGAGAATCATTGGACCCTGAATGAAATAAAATATAGCCCGCATGTCACTAGAGAGGGCAGGGTTTTTCTTTGCCTGGAGGAGGGAATGACTCTTTGATTTTGGTGTTCCATAGGGTTGCTCATCACCCATGGTGGTAAAATTTGCAGACACTCAGAAGGACAAAGAACAGAAGAGAATGGCGCAGCAGCTCCAGCAGCAGATGCAGCAAATCAGCGCCGCGTCTGTGTGGGGAAACCTGGCTGGTCTCAATACTCTTGGACCGCAGTATTTAGCAGTGAGTCTTTGTGGTTGGCTTTCTGCAGACTTTGCAAGCTCCCAGCTGTTTCTCCTCCTGCCGTCCCTAGCTAACAGGCACAGGGGCACTTGCAACTTCTGCCATTTGACTTAAAATTCAGTTCACACACCTTTCTGTAAGTTCGGTTAGTCTCTATCACATCACACACCTCTGGTTGTATCTAGACTTCAACCACAAGGTGAAACTCTGATTTCCTAATTTAATGACTTAGGAACATTTCATGACTCTGCCCACAAGTGAAAAAATTCCTGAGGGAATCTTCTCAATTAGATATCTTTTCATATTTGCTAGGTATTGGGCGCCGTATAAAAATTCTTCCCTAATGAGAAATATAGTTTCTTTCAGCCGACTGAGAGATTGAGATTAACATGGACATGACTAAAGGGTAATTATAGGTATATGTCTGATTTCATTACATCCTAAAAAGATTTTCTTTCATGTAGCCTTTTCTTGGGGCGAGTGTGAGTCATATCATCCCGAAAAGAACGTCAGGCTCTGGTTTGCTACTTGGATTTCCTAGGTCTGCGACGCAGTGCATTTCCTGCTCTACCCTCAAAGAATTGCAGCCAGCTCAAGACCTTTACAATGGGGCCATCTGAGCCAGAAAGAAAAGGTCTGGACACTTGTGAAACTACCAATAAAGGAGGCTGCATGGACAGTTCAAAAAAAGCACACATTGGTTAACTAGTAGAACCATTCAGTACTCGTCCTTTTACATTTATTATCCATGGGAAAGATGGTGATTTTTGTCCCCTGGCAGTCTGCTTTGGCTCATTTGATCTGTGGCTGCCTGTATTTCGCATTGTCAGAAGACATCCTTGTTTAGCTCCACTGATACCCCTCTCACCTCAGGAGGTCGTTGGTGGTTGATTGAGTTCACCAGTGATAAAGCTTGTGATTCCTGGAATATTGCTCGGAAGTTGAAAAAGAGGGTAATCGTCTTAGATAATTCGGAGCCTCCAAAGAGGAAATGCTCCCTGTTGTCATCATTGCCACTTTTCGTACGGGCGCGATGATAAGTTCAGAGCTTGGTCTCTTGTTTCGGTTAGATACGCCCTAAGATCCTGTTCCTAGTTAGGAGGGAATGAAAAGTATCTGGTACGATATGCCCAAGGTACTTAAGAAGACTAAAATGAAGATAAGGCACTTTGGACAGTGTACTGGTATTAGGTTCTTTTCTAGACCAGGTGGACTAAGACCTGCACTCGACTGGACTAGAGCTGTGATTCTTCTCTATTTTGGGGTTTTTTCCCCAACTATGTTTATCACTTTATTTATATTATTATGCTTAAGTTACATGAAGAAAAAAAAAAAAAGACAACCAAGCAGTTCCTGGAAAACTTTCCAATCCAATCAACAGCAATTATGTGGTGATGATAACTAGGAATGGTGATGCCTTTGGGTCAAGATTGACGAGGAAGAATGGGCTCTTGGTGCGAGGGTTCATCTCCAACAAGATTATGGCGTAGTGGCCAGCACAAGCCACACGGACACTGGACTTTTAGCGCGGTCACAGATTCAGATCTCTTCTCTGAACTTCTGGTTTTTGTGGAACTGTAGGTCCCTTTGAAAAGCTGGTAACTATTATGTGTAGATGCACTTTTCATTCCATTTCTGAAGGTTAGCAGACCTTCATCTTGAAACCCATCCCTGAACTCTGGCCTTGAGGTATTCATGATAGCAGAGAACCCTGTGAGATCTTTGTCGGATTGAGTAACAGGTTGAATAAAGGACCCAGGGTATCCACTCCCATCGTTGCCTTTGAATGGAACAGAGGTCTTAGTTATTGGTTCAGTGGAGGTAGTGGTTACAAAGTAAAGCCATCGACAGGCCCTCTGGTTTTGTGTGTCTTACCACAACCATTGATGAGAATTTATAGTGATCATTGTGGTTAAATCTATCTGTCATGATCATCTGCAGTGAAGACCAGTTTTGAGGGCCGGCATAAGATAGGGCTTCCTATCTGGGAGACAGTACTTTAGTTGTGGGTTCATGTGGCCAGTCAAAGGTAACTTGTACAAATTACCCTACAAGATCTGATAGGAAATAATTTTGTGTGTACATGATGGGTATTGCGATGGGAATGGCCTACATAGTGAGTAAGGTGTGTGCCTGTAACAAAGACGTGATGGGACGTGGCAGCCCTCCACATGCAAATACTCGTCATAGCTGGCCCCACAACTGCTTGAGCGGGGCTTGTGTTCCCCACCCGACTTCATCCTCTGCTGTGTTGCATTCTGCTGCCCAAAAGACGTGCACTTGGCTCGATACTCAGTAACATAGCATCTTCTGGGCCAGGGCTTCTCCTGTGTTGTGTTGTCCTGTCCTGTGCTGTCAGATGCCTCATGTTTCTGCTGTGCTTGCTTGGGTTCCTGTCTACGACTCTTCTCTCTGGCGCCTCTGCACTCTTGCTTTGCTGTACTGTAGAGTTGTCCCAGATGCAGAACCAGCCCTCACTCTCACTCTTGTTCTGTTTTTTGGTGTAATGTCTAGCTTTATTTGCAGCTCCTTCAGCAGACTGCCTCCTCTGGGAACCTCAACACCCTGAGCAGCCTCCACCCAATGGGAGGTAAGTGTTCTGGTTGCTGTGGAGGAGCCGCAGCCGCCAGCCAAACGACCCAGCTCACAACCGCCTAAGAGTTTTGCAACATCCATCCACCTTGTGCCTTAAAAGGAGCCAGGCCAGAGTTCTGTACCCTTCGTGCAGAGGAAAGAAAACCTCGCTCCCATCACAGAAATCATAAGATCAGCGTCCCAGGACTCGGTGCCTTGTCTCTGTAAGGTGGCACTGTTGTTGCTGGATGCTAGATCTTTCTGAGGTGTTCCTCTGCCCTTCACCCTTAGTCTTCATTGGAAAGAAGGTGGAAAAGACTGGTTAACACCTAGAGACCAGCATTGGTACAAAATGGCTTTTCTAGCAACAGCCAGAGGTAGTTTCTTTGCAGACGGTTTACCCTGAATCAGCTGCTAGACCCAGGTAGTTGTTTGGCCATTCCGCACGTGGGCTGCCCTGGGTGAGTTCCTTTTGTCGTGGTGGTGGTGGTGGTGGTGGTGGTGGACATGCATGGAAAACACCCGAGTTTCTAACAAAACGCACCACAAACAAGCCACGGTGTCAGAAAATTGTTGGGGGCTGGGGAGTAAAGCTGCTCCCAGAGTGACGTAGAGAGGAAGGCTGCGCACGCACAGTGTGAAAGGGTCCTCCGAGCCAAACTGCAGGCTGCATTTGTGCACTGGGATTGGGACAGACACTGTGAAGATTGTGAAGGTTTTGGAAAGGTGCAAGATCTCATCTGTAGTGTAGCTTTTGGGTCTTTTAAACTCCCACTGCTTTCTACACTCTGCCTTCCCTCACCCAATGGAGGGTCTGCAAAGTGTTCTGAGGGAAGGCCGCCTCTTATCCTTCTGATTGTTTGCCTGCTAGTCACATTTTCGCTTCTCTTCATTCCTTGTTTCTGGCTGTTTTCACATAGCCCTCCTCTCATGGACCTCCTACAGCTCTGAGTACCTCATGTGCTGCTCATTCATCTCCCAGCAACGAGCACAACCCCCACCCCTAGTGCGAGTGGGGGCTCAGACACAGCTCCTTCTGGGCTACAGGCTTTAATGACGTCATTCTCTCAGCTCTTGAGTCCAGAATATGCGACACACACACACACACACACTCTCTCTCTCTCTCTCTCTCTTTCCTGATTGCCGGCCCCTTTCTTAATGCTCGCTTGGGGTGACATCTGAGAAAACTGTTGTTTCTTCATGCATCGAATGATACCAAAATCTTGTTGGAGGAGGCCTGTGTAGAGGTTCCTAAAAAGCCATTGGGTGGAAGAAGCCCTCTTTGTCTGGGACCAGCCTTCTGCCAAAGCGTGCTCTCAGTGCTGCAGTAGCTGTCAGGCACCTTACCTGCTGGCTGATCTCTTACTTTGGATGTTACAGGGCTAAATGCAATGCAGTTACAGAATTTGGCAGCACTAGCTGCTGCAGCCAGTGCAGCTCAGAACACGCCGAGTGGTACCAATGCTCTTACTACATCCAGCAGTCCCCTCAGCGTGCTCGCCAGTTCAGGTAAGCCTGTCACAGGGGCCAGGGTGCTGCTGTGTTCCTTGGGCAGATCCCCCGTCTGAAGGCAGTGTCACACTAGTTTACACCCTGTCTCAGGGCTGGTATGCCCAGTTCACAGATTTTTTTTCTTTTTCTTTTTGTTTTATTAGTACTTCATTCACATATCATATAATTCAATAGTTCAACCATATCAAGAAGAGTTGTACCACAACTTTATCACAGTCAGTTCAACTTTTACATGTGTAGTTCAGCGCCATTGATTATACTCTTCGTGTTGTGCAACCGTCATTGTGGTCCCTCTCCAAGTTGTTCCACCACCATTACAATGAACCCAGTGCCCCCTGATCACTCTTCCTACTTCACCCTGGGGAACTATAGGTCAGGTTTGCTTTCTTTTTTTCTCAGTTATTTTCTGGATATCATAGTCACTCAAATGACATCTTCTAGACCTGAGAGAGATTCCATAGTGCATGACTCGTTCTGTCATAGATAACTCTGGCCCCGGCAGCAGAGTTAATAACTTGGAAGCTCCGTGCACAAAGAGCACGGGGCACGAATATAACTGCTGCTTTCTGATAGCAGGGTCCTCGCCGAGCTCCAGCAGCAGTAACTCTGTCAACCCCATCGCCTCCCTCGGGGCCCTGCAGACACTAGCTGGGGCAACCGCCGGCCTCAATGTCAGCTCTCTGGCAGGTAAGGGGCAGCCCCTGGGTGTTGTCAGGCCATCGCTTATGCAGAGCAGCACATGGTTGGGGTGCGGGGCGGGGTCCAATGAAATCAGAAAAAAAATTATTGGATTTCCAAAGACCGGGGTTAAATCCCACCTCCACCCCTTCACTCACTCTAACTGGCAACATCATTTTACGGTTATTTTCTTCTCTGTGAAGTGGGAGTTTTCAAAATGCTTCCAGGGGTTATCGGGACTCTGAATGAGCAGTGAAGTGCTGGCATGTAGCCCACACTCAGCTGCTGTTGTGATGACAGGGTTTGCCCACCTCTTGTTAGAGGTCACACTTGTCCCTCTTAGACCTCGGTCCTGAGGCTTCTGCCCCATGTGGCCGAAAGCCACAGCAAAAAGGGAGGCACAGGGGAGACCTGGCCGCGGCCTTTCCCAGCGTCTCAGGAGCATCACGGCCGAGGGGGAGGAAGAGCCCTGGGATTACCCCCTGTAGGGCTCTGCCTGTTGTTGCCTCCCATTGAGTCTTTCCCCGTGGTAACCCTGCTCTCTCCCGACTCAGGAATGGCGGCTTTAAATGGCGGCCTGGGCAGCAGTGGCCTCTCTAATGGCACTGGGAGCACAATGGAGGCCCTGACCCAGGCCTACTCGGGCATCCAGCAGTACGCCGCCGCCGCACTCCCCACACTGTACAACCAGAACCTGCTGACACAGCAGAGCATCGGTGCTGCTGGGAGCCAGAAGGAAGGTGAGGGCTCCGGGAGCTGGGAGCCTGTGGGGGAAGGCAAGGCCCTCTCGGGGGTCTGGACGGTGTCAGAGCAGACGGAAACACTCTGCATTGGGGAGGGGCGGGCAGCACTTTCTAGATGAAAAAACAGATGCCAGCTGTGTTTTAAGTGGATGGCTCCCTGTGACAAGCTTAAGACTCTGGGTTTGTTAAGAAGTCACCTTAAAAAGACGGCTTGCTAGGTAACCCTTTGTAGCTGTAGCCTGTGGTGTGTTCCTCACAGTCTGATCAGGTGCCTTGCCCAGTTGAGGACGCACTGCGGGACGGGGCGGGCCCGTGGGAAGTGTGTGTTTGGACACAATGGTGCGATTCTCAGGAGAGGCTTTCTAGGCAGAGTGGCATGAGGAGAAAGCCCCGCAAGTGGAAGGAAGTCTTTGTGCTCAGTTTTGAGTGGAGTTCGGAACTCAGAGCTGACCACGTTTAAGCACTTATTGTAGGAAAGAGAATTTTTTTCTCTTGCAACAGCAGTAAGGAATTCTGGTCTAGTTCCTCCTGACTGGCTCTGACTTGCGCATGTCTGTGCCCTGTGGGATGTGATGGTGTCTCTGCCACCATGGTGCCGACCTTTCCCTAGAAACCACGGAGGCAGACCAGCAACAAGTGATGTTTCGGTGGTGCTCTAAAGCATGAGGGACAGGGCGTGGTAGAGACACTGCCTTTGCTGTGGGGTGTTCCAAGGAGGGCTCAGCCATTAGTCTCTAGAGAAGCAGTGTGATGAGGGGGGAGGGGAGGTGTAGGTGTGAAGATGCCCCCACAGGGCGGCCAGTGCCAGGCTGGAGGAAGGCGGGTTGCTGTTGCCCTGGGTTCTTCTGCCATGGCCTGTAGAACTGTGAATTCGATGAGCCTGCACCACCCCTCCTGCCCTAGTTCCCCACCTCTGGTAACTGCTGACCTCTCTGCTGCCCCTGTTGTTTCTGGGCTGGAATTTGAAAGTGGTTTTATGTATCACCTCTGTGGCCCTCTTTGAGTCCCTAGTCTCTGGTCTTACTGCTCCCCACACCAGTCTCCTGCTTTCCTGTCCCAGCGTGAGTCAAAGTTGAACGTTCTCTGGTGACTGAGAACAGGGAGTCAGTTTCCAAGGTTGCCCTCCAGTCCCCTGCCCTGGAAACTCTGATGAGTTACCCGTATGAACCTGGTGGGCAGCAAACATGGGGAGAATGGTGCCCAGGGCAGGGAGCTTGCTCAATACTGATAGCTTGCCAATCCATGGGTGTCTTGAAGGTCCAGAGGGAGCCAACCTGTTCATCTACCACCTGCCCCAGGAGTTTGGGGATCAGGACCTGCTGCAGATGTTTATGCCCTTTGGGAACGTCGTCTCAGCCAAGGTTTTTATAGACAAGCAGACGAACCTGAGCAAGTGTTTTGGTATGCCGGCTTCTGGTGTTGGGGCGGGTGTGAGAGTGTGGCACTGAGGAAGAGCTGGGTTCAGGTGCAGGTCATTGTTTGTCTCCGCCTGGCAGATCCTGCTCTCTCTCTCTCTCTCTCTCTGGTGGAGATGGTTTCTTGGCAGATGGCCACTCCAAAGGTGGATGGACTAGAGAAATAACCTACAAAATGGCTGGGGGGCAGGGCGGGGGGGTCACGTTTTAGGTCTATAGTAATAGCATTAGTTGGGGTTAAGGCATGTCTTGTGTTTGGAGGACCTGTTTCATTCGGCTCTGACCTGGAGCTCCTCTTGGACACGCAGGTTTTGTGAGTTACGACAATCCTGTTTCGGCTCAAGCCGCCATCCAGTCCATGAATGGCTTTCAGATTGGCATGAAGCGACTTAAAGTGCAGCTCAAACGTTCGAAGAATGACAGCAAGCCCTACTGAGCGTGCTCCCCTCTGAGACTGAAGTGAGAGGGTCTTCTGGTAAGTGGGGGAGGAGCACCCTTAATGATTGGAAGCCCTGAGGCTGTGTGTTGACAGGCCTGGACCCTGATCCCCGCCACTCTCGCAGGCACAGCTTGCCCTGAAGACTCGGCTACGGCCTTCTTGGGAGTTTCGCTTCGTGCAGAGGACGAGTGTGTGCTTTGGTTTCCAGTGTTTTACTTTGGAGTTTAGGTGCCATATCCTGAGGTTTTTGTTTTTTTGTTTTGTTTTTTTCTTCCTTGATTTAAAATTTGCTGTGTTTGTAATCAGTGTGTGTTGAAAAGGACCAACCCTAAACCACCTGGGAGGGGGTGGGTGGGTGGGGAAACATTTAAAAGGAGAAGATCAGAACATGCCCCAAATGACTACCCCCAAGAGAGAGGTCTAAGGTGGAGCAAACCCCTGTCCCCCACCTCTCCAACCCTTCCAGGGGTGAGGGTGGGTGAAGTGAGAGCTGACACCAGGGGCTGGGAGGACCTGGAGAGTATGCTGGAGCAGAGCCTCTCCACAGCTCTGGAAATCGAGAGTCTTTGCCGCCTAATATTCAGATTCGTATCCTGGATATCTCTGCCTCTCTCTCCCAAGAAGAGGCTAGCAATTCTCTGGGAATAAAGCCTCTGTACATTTTCCTGACATATGCAAAATTCAGCCAGCCCTCACCTCTTACCTGCTTCCCCAGGCTGCTTGGGAGAAGCAGTCTGTCAAAGAGGCTCTGGGTCCGTTTCAATGCCGAATTGTAGAGTCTGGCCCATTTCTAAGCGGTCCCTATAAGGGAGGCCCTTAGGGAAGGCCCTGCCGGGTTTCTTGCCGTGCAGTGCACCACATACTGAGCAACACTTCCACCCAACATTTTCATGAGGGCAGATCCCAGAAGGGCCTGCGTGGTCTGGCTGACGAGGGCGGAGTAACCCAAAGTCACCTAACTGGGGAGAAAGAGCCTGCTCATTGTGTACCTGAATCAGAAAGCCCCTTCCAGCCCAGGGCCCGGGTTTCTCATGCCAGTACTTAGCATTAAAAAGGACTTGGGAATCCGGTACTGGCCTCCCAGGTAGAGATGGCCCAGATTTCATGTCCCCAGAGAGGCCTGGCAAGCCCCCCTCTCCTAGCCGCTGGGGCCTTTCTGCTCGTGGGGGCAGAGGGAAGCAGTAGGATGTTTACAGCCTCTGTATGGATTTAGTGTTCTTTTACCTCAGTATTACCTTGTCCAGCTCTGTCCTTGTGCTTACAGTGGGCTCTCCCTGCTGCTTCCATGGCCTCCCCCCTGCTCTAGCATGTGACCCACACAGCCTCTGAGGCTGGAGAGCCAGGGAGGACCCACCAGGAATGTATGCCTGGGCAGAGGTAGCCCAGGACTGGATCCCAGAGTATTACACAAGACCAGTCCTAACTCTAGCAGCAGACGGATGAGTTAAAGGACTGGTCCACTGCTGCATCCGATGGGGCCCCATCCTTGTCCCGCTGTCCCTCTGGGTAGTAGACAGGGACCAGCCAGCGTGCCCTCGTGCAGGTAGCTGCTGCGGGTGGGTTTTCCCCCATTGAAGCAGGGACTGATGCTCCCTTCTTTCTTATAGTGATAACGTGGGTCTCTTGTCCTCTAAGACACATGAAATAATATACTTTTGAAGCTGTACCATGTAAACTTGAATTCTGCACACTGGGAGAAATGTGTCCTGTGTTTCAAAGGATAAAACTGTTCCAAAGGCTTCCAGGGGCATGACAGGATTTTTTTAATAAATGCAAAAAATAAAAACAAAACAAAAAAAAAAGAAAAAAAAATGCTAGGTTGGGGAGGCGCTGTTCTGAGCCCCAACCAGCTGGAACCAAGAATGTCGTTTCTATTTTTATAGAAGTTTTATACAGCTCCGGGGTGGAGAATATTTATTACCTAAATTATATCTCTGGACAAGGCCAGGATTTTGTAGAATCCAGAATGTGATTGTTGTACACACAGGGTGCTGTGTATGATTGAAACTACTGACTTTCTGTGGCCCCGATGGCAGCCCAGCTTCCTCCGCCAGGGGCAAGCACAAATGCTGTGAACTGGTGGGTGGGTGGAGAGAGCTGTGCTCTGGGGGGCGCTGCCCTGCTGCGACTGCGAACCTTCTGTTCTCCCTCCTCAGCCAAGGTCTAGCGCCTGACGCCAGCTCCACTCTCTCCCCTTCCCTGTCTCACCACTATTTGTCCTGAGCTCTCATGTGCCCCTTTCCCCCTGGTAAAAGGAAAGGTGCAATCAACCTGCTTCTGATATCGGACCCGAGGTTTCATACCTGCGGGGGGTGGGGGTGGGGGGATGGTATCTCATTCCTAAAAGGAGCCTGTGCCCTAGCAGGGCCATGGACGCCTAGAGTGGCCAGCGGGTGAGAGCAGGCACCCCTGTCCGCTGAGGGCCACGGCGGCAGCGCTGTCTGCGAGCACAGTTCTCTCCCCGGACCAGAGCCAGGCTCAGCTTAGAGGGGAAACCCACAGTCCAGTCCCTGCCATCCTCTTCGGTAGTGTGTGTGCTGCCCGAGTTCTGTTTCTTCCTTGGGGTTGTATCATGAAAAGCATTTGTCCCGGATGCAGCCAGGCCACTGCCTCCTGGTTTCCCCCACGAGGGGCTAGGGTCTGCGGGGAAGCCATGAGCTTGGATATTTGGGATCAGAGGGCTATCCCCATGGTGTTGAGGAGAGATTCTGGCCCTCTTCCCTCTCCCGGGTCTCCCACCCCAGCCAGCAAGCATTCTCTGCTGTCAGCCTGGGGCCTGACAAGGAGGCAGGGAGAGGGGGACTGGGCTCTCACTGCCTCCTCTCTTGGGTTTGGGTGCTTCGTGGGGCTGGGGGGTAGGAATCCAAGCTAGGTTCCGTTCTGTCTCTGGCAGTTGGATGTGTCTTGGTGTCCTCCTCCATGTCCTTTTTGACTTTCCCTGTGTCCATTGTTAGCATGTGCAAAAGTCCCCTGTCATCACCAGTGCCGCGCG